CCTTAGATCTTCAAATTTAGCAAGACATTCATTTTCCAGGCAGTGTAAAATTCACTTGAAAGGTCCCCCCCCCCCCGCCCACCTTCGGCCACTTTTTTATCCTGTTTCTGCTTTTCTTTTAAATGATTTAAATTTTGTGCTGGGTTCAAATGCTCTTGAGTGCCATCTGTGATGCAAACACACTAGAAGGGTGGGACATAAATATTTCTATTAACAAACAAATAAAATTATGCAGTCAGGTAATACTGCAAAAAGTATTAAGCAATATGCAGTAGATTAATAATTATAACAATTACAGGAAATATAGTCGGAAACATAATTCAAAGTATAATGCCTATAGCTTAAAATACATTAAGTTGCTTGAAGATACTAACTGCAGTGTCAAGAATTGTCTGATGCCTTATGAATATCGGTCTCTTTCTCTCCCCTCCTGAAGGTAAAATCAAGGCCATATGTCTGAGTTCATCTCAGGGCATGATCTATAACTTCTCAAACCCTGGCTGTAATAGTGTGATTTTAACATAACCCCCTTATACTTAGTTATTTCAAGTTTAGATCAAATTAGTTTAAGTAGCCCTTGTTTGAGCCTGTTTGATGTTATCCATGACCTCAAGGCTTAATTGTTGCCATGCTAAGCCATAATTTATTTGAACCATGGTCTGTGAATAAGAAATAATAACTGGTTCACAGATAATGCTGATTGATGAGTCATATAAATGATGAATTACAAGCCACCCGTGACTTGGTTTTTACATCACGCTAAGTCAAAACCAAGTAACCATACTGTGATGTGTAAATCAAACCAAAGTCTGGACTGGAACAACTGGATATAATTAAGAGATCACAATGACCTCAGCAGTTTGAAAACCTCATTAACATTTCTAATCACAGCAGCTAAAGTTGGATAGAGAGTTACTCTTGTGTTTACACAACATACAAAGCCAACATCAAAGTAAATTAGGGCTTAAGGTGAAGTATGAACTGAAATTTAGATTGCCAAACGCTTTAAGTAGATGCAAGTATTGAATTAAACCCAACGTTGGCTAGAGAAGACCTTTAGATTTAACCCACAACCCATCCATATTTCCTAATAAATACAAGGGAATGAATTAGGGCTATGCAAAGCTTCAATTTGGAAATTAAATTTGAAGCTGATTCAGTCAAAACTTTGAATAACTTCTACTTTCTGAAGTGGAACAGGAAGTCACATGGAACTGGTAAATCAAAGCAGATGAAATATTCAGAAAAATCAAGTTGGCTGCATTTTCCAAATTATTGAGTTGGGTTAACAATCCAGTTCAAATCAGTTTCTTAGTCTGCAGTTGATCCAAGCACTTTTTAATTAATAGCATTAAAAGTCTACAGACAGCAACTTTTATCACATATGATCATTATTTTAGGACTGTTCAGGCAGGCATCTATCTGTAGAAACCTGGCTGAAGTAATACAAGGTTTAGAAACAATATACTTTGTTTTAGTGGTAGTTTTCAATGCTGTGATAACTTGTTGCACATTTCAACAGTTACAGATTGATCCAAAATCTTGTAACAGCGAGCACATCTCTTTACCTTGTTATATTTTAACAGCTCTTTAGATTTTAGGATGAAGACCCGACTGTAGGGGGACCTATTGTAGCTTGGTTAGTACACTTTGCAGAATAATGAAGATTTTGGGAAATCCAGAAGTGGCCCTCTTGGAAGGGATTTTGTGAAGAGCTTTCTATGGGAAGTGAGGAACAATTCTGACTTTCGCAAGCCGGCCACCTGTAGTATATACAGCAACTCCTTGAGATGCCAAAAAGCCGGTCACACATAAGATACTGTACATATTGACTGGGTGCATAGATCATGCCAAGCCATCATTTGTTGAATCATTTGTGGAACAATCTGCATGTCTAGTTTCACATACCAAGGTTAGTGAGAAACCATAGTTTACAGATCACAATAACTGAGTTCAGATAATGTAGGAAGCCAAGAACTAAATCAACTACTATCAGGTTTTCAAGTTTGTTAGTATACCCTATAACAGTAAAGCTCTAGTAGTTCATGTAGTGTTTGCTTCCTGAACTTGGTTTATCTTCAGGGCCTGACATCAGTCTTGGAAGACTCGGCAAAACAGATGTCCATGCCCCGCAACTTCACGTACCAGCTTTGTCTGAAATTCCTGCACAAGCCCCATCCTCACAATCTGCCACGACTATGAATAGACAGGAGGAAGAATATAGTGACGGGAAGCACCGAGTCCTCTTCCTCCTGGGGTTCACTGACTCTCCAGTAACAGCCTCATGCAACTGGAGGGAGGGGCGGACTCTGCAGCAAGGTTTGTCTAATGACCTGGAGAGGGTGTGCCTGAATCTGGAGTCGATTCCCACAAAGACTTTTCAGTATTTCTTTGCATGTGGGAGGGGAGAGTGAATCCAATGGGGAGGTGGTTTAGAGGACTATGGAGATGGCCTTGAAGAAGGAACTCAACAACCATTATGTAAACATCAGCTTAGCCCGGAAAGACAGGATGGGGCTAGGAAGATTGCCCCACCTTGATTTTCTTTAGTATAAAAGGGGGATGGAAAGAATCTCTGTCAGGCTTTCAAGATTCTGTTGTTATACCCCATAACGATAGAGTCCCAGTAATTTAGGCAGTTTCCTGACCTGGCCTACCTCAAAAGGCTGACAACTACATTGCAGCTTAGCATGATCTATGAACTTAGCTATTGATTTTGTTTTTCTTGCTATCGTCCTTAGTCAATAAGATTTTGGAACATTACTGTATTTGTTCCAAAATTTTCAAAAGTTGCTTACTACTAGAAATATTGCAATAAGTATGTACATTCAAGATAAGCTATTCTTGTGCCAATTGCTCTCTGTCTCCAGCCATTATACAATGTTCATAATCATTGTTACTTATATCTTCTTTTAAAGAAGTCAGTGGCACCCGTGAAATTGCAGACGTTGGTTTGTCTTTATGAGAATGAATCTCAGGTTTACCCCACCCCCACATCCCTGTATGTAAGAGAATGAAGACCCTGTTTTCATTTTTGAAGTAATCATAGTTCCCTTTTCCATCAAATGTTTAAAAATGTTGGAAATTGTATTCTTATTTTAGATGTGGTTAATTCAACAAACCATGATTTGTCTGTAATTCTGATCCTGTTAACTAACAGCATTTTAAATAATATATCATAATTTTCAGAAATGAAATATAGCAGAAACTGGTTAGTTGAAAAAATAGAAGCAGAAGCTTTTACTCAGTTCCTCTATTAAACAAAGGAAGAACATGTGAACCTAAATTTTTTGCAACTCATTCCTATACTGGCAAAATATAATTTATTATATCTCAGCTGACTCATGCTTATACTGACCAAGACTTGGAAAAAAAATAAAAACTTAAATTACATTGAGAAAATTACTGCTTTTCTTTGGTAATTGATGAAATTCAATTGGTATCCAGTTCTTTCACTTGTCCCATGTATTTCTTCTACCTTCTTCTAAGGAAATCAGAAGCAGCACATCTTTGCAGAATCCCAAGAGGTAAAAGAAGAGGACTTTCCCAAAGTTATTCAGTGAGCTTTTTAACAGAACAGAAAACTGACTGCTCAGAATGAAACTAGCTTCATACAATAACATCTAGCCATAACTTCACTTCAAAGAATAAATAAATGAAGACATAGTTTCATTAACCACATTTTATTGAATAAATTGGAAGACTGGGTTCAGACAGCATGTTAGATAAACAAATCATAATGGCTGAGTTTGCACAGTGCAATGGTTAAAAACCAAACAAGCCACATTCCAGTGGTGAAAGAAGCTAGAATATTATTCTTGCTGTTAATTCTACTTTTCTTCCAACCTTCTTTCATCTGGTTCAGAGTTCTAGCTGTAACTTCACCCTGCCTGCCTGCCTTAATTTATCATTATAAAGGCCCCTGAGACACAAAGTCAAAGGTAGGAGGGGTTGTTCAGTTGAGCTTCATGGTTTGGACTTCTCAGGTCAGAGTCATGCCATATTGGGATCATCAGTGTCTGGCATGGAAACGCTTTGCAGTAAATTGGAACTTCTATTTGTTTCCACTGTCATTGGAGCTAGCCATTATCCAGAGAAACCATAAATATTTCTACTGTTCATCCACTTTTGAAAACAAGCAGTGACTGCGTTCAGGTATGTTCAGTGAGCTCTAGTTGGTTTATCCATATTTCACTGAACAAATGGTTCTTGGATGTATTGGCTGAGTCATAAAGCAAAGAAACCACATTGTAAACTTAGCATTAAAAATGTAGAAACAAGGCCAGAGTCTTCACTGTATTGTCTTCTGTCCTTAATACAATACCCTACTTTGCTTATAGCTCTGAGCCATGATGTGGTTTGCAAATCTATCCCAAGAAAGACATAAAAAAATTCTTTAATATCAAAGTTTATTGATTTACAAATCTGAATTGTTTTAACTATGGTTTTTTAGTGACAAAAATACACATAATCCTAAACTATGATTTTTAAAAACAAGGTTTATTGACCAAGCCAAAAAGAAACAAACCACCTTATGGCCAAGCATATTAGGCCATTATGTAAGAATACTGGTTTATTTCTGGCTTGTTTATATGCAGTAGACCATGAGGTCAAAGGCCTTAATAGGTTGCTATGTTGGAACAGAACAAATCTCTGTGGCAGACATCTTGTAGAAAATGTTGGAAATTTGTAAATACATTTATGCTTCCAGGATAAATGACTAATTCAAGACCAGCAGGCACCTGTAAATTGCATGAAGAAGCCCTTGAGGTCATATTCAAATAACATTCTTCAGATGTTTTCTACCTGCATGAACAATTATTTTGGATTCTGAGTTGAGTCTGAATCTTCTCTGAGTCCTGTTTATATCCAGCTTGGACTAGAAGTAGTCTCTAGATGTGTTTGTAAACTCCCCTATGTGAGCAGCTTAGTTTCACCCCAACAAAAATTCTGCTCAGAATTCTGTAGCAGTTTGAGGGCTGTTTCTCACTTGTTTTTAATCACAGCACAAACATGCTCCAACTACCTCTTTTTTCAACTAGGTCCTCTTGAGATTGCCTTCATTGCCATCCCCAGCCCACTCCTGAGACAGCTTAAAGTCATCTTTAGCTGTTCCACTTTTAAGTTGTACTTTTCCATTTATTCCAACAGAGTTTTGGCCCTAGAAACAATCTAGCCTGCTTTATGAATTCAATCAGAGGTTGGGATCTGCCCAGCTCCTAATGGCCACTTTACATTATTGTGAGCAGCCCCCTCCACCCTGATCATCAAACACTGCCCTCTAGGTCTTTTGGCTTGAGCTACAGAAGAGACCAGGCACCTGGTTTCTACAGAGACATTGTCCATGTGATGGGTGACCAGTGCTTCCCACAGCACTTGTTAGGTTTTTACAGATTAGATTTATTTTTTGAATGTAGGTTTAGTGTTTTTCAGAAAGAGCACTAGTCCAGCCTGAAGGTCAATTTAAACCGGGAAAAAGAACTGAGTTCTTGACTGGCTTTCATTTTGCCCAGGCTATTCTGGTTTTGGTGGCACTAGGTATCATGATGATATATAATAATAATCATCACAACTTTGTGATTCCATAAGTCTGCTCTAGCAGGTGTGTTCTCCATGGCCATTTCATAGCTATTTCTGGGTGCTGTGAGCCATGAAGTCAGAACTGGGACTCCTTGATTGCTTCTGCCAGTGGCACCAGACCCATGTTCAGAAACAGCTGAAAGGAACCAGGCATTGAGGAGGGGGTGTGAGGACGCTCTCTCTCTCCCATTTTACCCCTTGTCTCTTGCTGCACTTCTTACCTGTAGGGCAGATAAACAAGTTTAGTGCTCCTTCAGAAGAACATTGTACCCTTATCTGAAAGCAAGCCAACTCACAGCCATAGAGAAGGGGTTGTGAAAAACATCAGCTTCACCCAACGCCTTCCTTAGTGCCTGTCACCTGTTAGTCAGACAGCTTGATGGATGGCTTAACCGGCTGTTCTATGAGTTTGTCTAAACCACCCCATCCCGTATTAGGAAGAGAGATTGGTGGTGGTTTTTCCCAGCAGTGAGTGATGCTTGGCAGGAATGGAAGTGAAGGCAGGAACTCCATTAATCCCTTTCCTTAAGTTGGCTCACAATAAGTAAGGACAACACCCTTTGCTAGCCTTGTTATTGTGGTGGAATAGATAACAGCAGTGGGGACATTACCATTTATGCAATAATACCTTTACACCAGCACAAGGGCTGGTGGATAGATTGGTTATGAGAAACAGCCTATACAGAAGTCTTTTAGTAAATATAATCGTGTATCTTTTTTCTCCTCCTTTCTTATCTTGATCTCAAGGTACCAACTGATAAAGAGTAATAATTAATTGGAACTACAGTCCCACATGTAGTCAAATTAGAGGGACTCCATCGGAAGGTTGCATTTGTGCTCAAATAAATTATAATGGGCTTTTCTTTTCTGGCACACTACAATAGACGTGAACACCAAAACAATGAACAGAAGCACTACTCCAGTGAGAAAAAGTGCTTGGAGGACTGAACTGGCTTCTTCCAGGCCCAGAGTTTTCCCAAAGAACTCTATTTCTGTTCTTCTGTTACCTGTTGAAAGAGAAAGACATGGTCATTTCTTCTTGGGACAATTCACAAATAATGCCTTATATCAGGAGTTGGCAACATGGTGCCTGTGGCTACCACAGCTCTAACTGGGGATACAACTGATTAGGAAGAAGAGCTTCTGACTGCAAGCAAGTATGAGCACAGCCCCTCTCTGCTATTCATTAAAACAGCTTGAAAATAAGATGCTGATGCATTAACTTTAATGAGTAGACTCTTTAAAGCAGCTGTGTGAGCACAGGATCACACAGAAGCCTGAAAAAAGTCAGGCTGCTTCCATGAATAGCAGAATGGGTGCTGCTTATTTATATCCTGCCTTTATTTTGTACAACTCAAGGTGGTGCCCATAATGTTCCCACGTCCTGTGTTCCCCTTAATAGCAACAGCCCTGTGAGGTGGGTTGGAGTGTCAGCCAGCTGGCTTTCATGCCTGAGGCAGGATGAGAACTCTTGTCTTCCAGTTTCTAGTCCAGTGCCTTCACGACTACACTGTGCTGGCTATCTGCTTGCACATGGCCTGAATTATAATTTTAAAATTGACAATGCCAGATTTTTCACAGGCTACTCAAATTTCACAAGATCTGTATTCTTATGTGAAATTTCATGAGATTCTGGGCATTCTTAATTTGTTAAAAATGTAATGTTTTGATTTTTTAAATATAATTCTTAAATATTTATTTAAATGATAGAATCATAGATTGGAAAGAGTAGAAAGGACCTTGAAGATCAGGGTTTGTTTGTTTGTTTGTTTGTTTATTTATTTATTTATTTGCTGCAAGATCAGGCAAAATCACACGAGGCCTCTTACCTGAAAATATTGCTAATTCTTGGACTACATCCAGTGTTGTGTGAGCAAATTAGCATTCACAAAAAGAGACTCCCCCCACACTCTCTTCCTCTACTACCCCTTTTACTGCAACAAATATGCAAAAGAGGGTCTCTTCTTATCCATCTAGGACAGATCTGGGGGAGGTTGCATAGTGATAGAAAGGATAGGAAGAATCCATTCCATTTGATTTTTTAAATGGTGTCCGAAAGATATCTTCAGTAGGTATTTAGGAATGTCAGTATGAATAAAATGCATCTGCAGCAGCGTACACAAGTGTGTGTGCATGACAAAGTCAGCAAGATAGCACTTGCAATCTTGCAATACGAATTTGCCCCTTTGGACATGTGTGCAATGTAGATGCATATACAGAAGAGACAGGGCTTCCATGCAACACTCCGACCTCCATCTTGCCAACTAGGACATATACACATATCTATGCACACCACTGAGTGCCTGTTGTGTGATCTTGTTGTGGCACTTAGTGATGTTCTGCATAATCTGTCAATAAGCTGAAGTTTTACCTGCTGTAGTAGTCTTGCTGTTGTCAAGATTTGTTTCATTTTCTGCAGGAAAAAGTGGGTTCGATTAGTAAGCAGAAGTTTACCACTGTCTGGCTGTCTTCATACATTGCACTAAGCTATGATGTGCTTTATCCAAGATTTACTGAACTAACCATAGAGATCTAGTTCACATAATACAAATCCCAGTTGGCTGGGTTCAGCTATAACACATTACATTATGAATGACAATGGCCGGATTCAAAAACCATCTAAGCTAAAATTGCAGATTACTTTAAACAGAAACCCTCATTAGGTCTGCCTACATGTCTGAAGAGTATTTCCCCAGGAGCACCTTTAAATCAAACCCTTTTCTAACTTGATTTAAAATAATCTAGTTTTGGATGGATTATGTTTTGCATAATTCCAGTTTTGAACAGAAAGCACATTAGACCCAAATCCAAGTTATGGGAACAGATATTCAGTACTTAAAATATGATACTTCGGAACTGGTGTTCACCATAAACTTTCTCTTCATAAAGCAACTAACGATTACACTAAGAATAGCTAAGCAGTGTCATTCAACAAACAGCAGCAGAAAAAGAGTTTAGCTTTTAAAAAAAACACAGCACTGTTCAGGATAGTTCTCCTCCCACTTTTAAATGAATCCCTTTGCAATTCCTTAGGGATTTGTTGCTGGGTAAAAGTGTGTGTGTGTGGGGGTTTTCTATACTTTGTGGAGATATATTATCCTGATGCCCCAGAGAAGGAATGCCTCCTCAGAAGAAGGAATCATGATTGAGGGTCTGCACAGCTGTCATTTCATAGTAATGGTAGCAAATGGTGATCGGCATTGCCTGGGTTATCACTCCATGGAAGAATCTACAGGGGGCTGTCCTGGTTGCTTCCAGAGACAGACAAGAGAAGAAGAAGAATCCTCCCAAATTCAGCCTAGCATTTGCTGCAAAAGATCTTTGCCTATTTTTATTACCTGCTTTTATTATAGTGTACGTGGTTTCCATCCCCGCGTGAATATGATCGTGCACGTGGCAATGTAGAAGCCAAGTTCCAGGATTAAATGCTACCAGCTCAACTGTCTGAAAAGTTGCAGGGATGAGGTCATACACATCTCCTCTGTGATTATGATCTATCTGTGAAAAGACAGAGGATCATTATAAAGATTTTCTACTGCTAGAGTCATGGTTCGGCAAAACAGTTTCTATTCCTCTTTTACCATTCATTTTTTAACATAGCTACTACACTCCGAAAGGCGATCATACCAACTAAATGGCTCTGTTCACACAATACACCTAAGCAGATCTGTTAAAGACTTAGCATCTGCATTTGTACAATGTGCTAAGTTTGATTTTAGAGTTAATTTTATTCTGTTTCTTTAGGGACTCAGCATGTTGTTCATTTAGAGTTCAATATATTGCACAAACTCAAAATGTGAATTAATTTAATAACTGGGTTAAGTGTATTGTATGAATGCAGTTGTAGAAAATGATTGTAGAAATTATTGTATGTAAATCTCCAGATACAGTGGTATATGCCAAATCCATAAAACAATGTTTTTTACTCCATAAAATGTACTATAATACTAATTATGTGCTTCTTATTGCCCCTCAGTTGAAGTGTGCATAGGTTTTACAGTATTTTGGAAATCTAGCATTTCTTATATTGATTTACTATAATACAAGTCGTACTTTTTTAGTCAGAAGTGCATATAAGTCCCTGAAAGCATTAGGTGTGCCCCAAGAAACATCCCGAATCTCTTAGCAAACTGTAATTGTTTGATGTGACAGAAAGTGAAAGTGATTAAACATATGACTGGAAAGTTTCTCATATTAACTATATGATTATATAACTATATGCTATATGAAATTACAATTTTTTTCCTATTTTCTTTTCTTTTGTCCTGGATCCACCAACTACTTTTGGGAGTGTTGCCCTGAATATGTCACTTAAGCCAAAGGTGGCCCTTAGCACAGAAAAAATTGCATAACCCTGATTAATACCAACCTTGAAAATAAAGGTTTCTCCATGAAAATGGACAGTATGGACATCAATTTCATTTCCCATTCCTATCAGGTACCAATTTGTGTCTTCTCCTTCATTCATTATAAGCCCATGGAGATTATCAAAGATTTTCCCATTGATGGCTGAAAAAACATGTAAGGGACAGATTTGAAAGGAAGAATCGCAGATTAAAGTGTTCCTTGGTCACTTGAAACCAAGGATATGTTATTCCAAAGGCTTGGGCTTTGTTGAAATTATTGGTTTGGATTCAGAGAAGTTTTTGCATGAGTAGAATTTCCAGACTTCTCTGATTTCTTCATCCTTCCATATATGGTCCCCAATATATACTTGACCATTCTCTGAGCATCTTTGGGGCATACACAGATGACCTCAGCTCCAATATAAAATGCTGTTTCCCAAGGAGAAGTTTATTTGAACTCCAAGCCTTCATTTCCAAGACCTACTGCTAAGACAGTTCACTTATCAACGCCTTTTGAAAAAAAGAGTAAAATGGGATTCCTGGAGATCTTGCTTATTTGAATGTTTTCCAACTGAAACTTTTCCTGCATATAGTGACTGAGGTGTTACACCATGGTTGCTTAATCATAGTTAATAAACCAGACCTGGTTAGATGCATAGTACACACTGAGCCATAACTCACAGGAATGGGCTCCCTGAGGCCAAGCCCTTGTTTGCGACCCCAGGAGCCATCACCTCACATCAGTTCCCATCATGTTAGAAACACAGGGAAATTGTAGTACTGTATAAGCTCTAAAACAAAATATAGTTTAAAGGAAAAAAACCCCAACACCCTAAAAAATTCCTCTGAAAAACCTACTGACACTCACTTCCCCCAGCTGAAAACCCTGGCCTTGCCAACTCTGCATGATGATCCTTCTACTCACAAATACTGTGTGGTTCCCAGCTACACAAAACTGGCTCCTGGCATACATCCTGGTTTGCAACCACAGCAGCTACATTCACACAAGCCTATTCAGCCAACTGAAGCAAACCCCCATTATAGTTTAGTGCAATCTGTGAACCTGGTCAATATATTAGGCTAGACCAGAAACTCTTCTCTCAAGTTTATTCTAAAGGACAGGGAATTCTTTTTAAATTCTCCTAAAGTTTCTAGCAGTTTAGTGGACCAACAAGGCTGTAACACATTATTATTTTGAAAGCCTAGGTTGGCTTTTGCTTTGTCCAAGTTGCACTGTCAACTTATATGATGCAGAAGCCTAAATAATTTATGAAGCATTATTCTTCTTCAAAAAGTAGTTCTCTTACTCCATATACTAAATCACATACCATGCATTTTGTTCCCTTCCATGAAATTATTGGTGCGGTTAAATTCTTCAGGATTTTTGCGCAGGTATCTTACAATGTTGTCATTTAAATACCAAGATTCATTTTCATCAAAAACCAGAAACAGAAGAACAAATTCACGATCAATATCACTCCTTGAGCCATTCTCATTTAATATCCCCTTCCTGCAAATTATAAGTGGTCCAATCAAACCACTATACAAATCCTGAAATTAAAGAACAGAAAAAAAGAAAATAGGACAAAGAATGGGTTCCTTTACTAGGTAGCAATATATATGTACACACACACACACACACACAATTAAATGCAAGACTTTTAAAATAAGTGTGAGAATGATGACCCATGCCAAAAAAATGAATGGGGGATGTGTTCACATGTGCAAGTCCTATAGTGCTGCTAAAAGTTGCTAAATGTCATGCTTTGCTGACCTCAAAGAGAAAAGCTGGAGGCTAGCTACTGTAAAAACTCTTTCTATACTTGATGCTTATCCAGCTCAAAATAATTCTGTACCAATACATTCAGAAAAAATTGAAATCTGTAGGGACATACATGGAGGGACATGGAGGGAGGGAATAAAAAAAATCAAAATGGCAGCTGCAACCATATAATTAAAGCACCACCCTTTTTATATATACATTATGCATCAGCCCATCACCTTTTTTAATCTCCCTTCTCTCCCCCCACCCCATGGACACTCTCAAATCTATGGCCTTTCCCTTAATCATTCAAGGTTATCCTAAGAAATACCATCTTTCCCCAACTTCTTAGATGTTAGACAAACTTAGAAAAAGAATAGATAACCCCATACGCATATACTGTATGAAATTTCATTTACCTTTACAAAATGTGCTGTTGAATAATAAGCCCAAGAAATACAATTAGGATCAGAAACACCAGGACCTGATCTTTCTGGAACTCTCCATTGGTAAATGCTTGTTTCTCCTGCATGCAAACATTTATGTTTAAGAAAAAGGAGTTTGGGGAGAAGAGAAAATTAAAGTTTGTCAACATCCAAAATTTGATGAAAATTGATCCATCTTGATAATTTAGTAGAATACCTACTCCTTTTTAAAAAAAAGTGTGAATTGCCTCTAATTCCCAAGATTAAAGGTATTTGATAAAATTCTCAAAATGCCAAAATTCCACTTAAAAGCACAGATACCCAATCTATAAGCAATTTAAGTTATGGCTAGCAATCCACTAAAGCATTTTAATTGATTTTTAAGTGACTAAAAGTTGTTTTCAGACCAAACTAAATTGCTTCAGCATGGTTTGTTGAACAGGCTACAATTCAATGGGTTCATGCCACACTAACCCATATCAATCAAACCACGTTATGGTTCTGCATGATGTGTAAATCCATTTAATAGTGCAATCCTATGTATTTGGAAGAAAGCTCAGCTGATTCTGATAGGGGTTACTCTCTTAAATGGAATTGGATGAAGAACACTAATTCAGTTGAAACAATTCTGCATTACAATTATATTGGGAGGTATTGATTTGAGGACTGTTGTCTTTTACAGATTAACTCCACTAGTTTTAGATAATCCAGTGCTTCTGATAATAATATACCTGCACATACTATAGTTTCACCATGAACTTTACATTCGGCTGAATTGCCCCAGCTACCAGAATGTTTACTAAGGCACTGAAACAACTAAGGTTTGCTATTTTGCTTGTAGCCCAGGAGCTGCATAGTAGCACCAATCACATTGTAAAATGCCTTATATTAAAAAGCTTTCAAATAATAACATTTTAAATTAAGAGGTAAGGCTTTCTTAGCATCCAGCTAGGTAGCAATCCTTAACAACTTTGATCTCAAAAAGCTAAGCAGGGTCAGATTTTAGGGCTGTGCAGTCCTTTGAATTTGGTCTCCAAACAGGACTTTGGAGCATGCAAGAACATGAACACAGCACCTTTTTGCAACAACTTAAAGCAGCTGTCATCTTGGGAAAAGTCAAAGCTGCAGAGCTGGGCTATATGTTCCTCTGCACATTCAGAAGCAGTTTTGGGAGAATAAATCCAACATGCTGTATAGCTGTGCTAGTTAGTACTTGGATGAAAGACAGGCAGGAAATCCCCAGTTTGTATGCTGGATAGGAAAGCTGAAAAAAATTCTTGCAAGAAGGCAGTGGGAAAGCTCTTCCATTCTGTGGCTAAAGGAATTCGAAAGACATGGACATGAAGTCATCAGGAATCAAATCCAGCTCAAAGGACTTGCTTGAAAATAGGCAGGATTGTGCCTCCCACTCAGATCCACCACTGTACCTGGCACGGCAATGTGAGCTTTAGTTCCAGCATCTTCTTGTACCCCGTGTGCTGATACTGAATACGGCCTACTGGCTTTGTTCTTAAAGACAATTACTACTAAGTCACCAACTTCTGCATGAATCAAAGGCCCTAAAGCAAAACAAGAAAGACTGTTGGTTTTTTTTGAGAAAGATACAGTCTTAAAATGCAGGGAATGAGAAGTACTCTCATCTCTTTCTAAAGAATGCAGTAAGAAATGAATTATACAAAAATAAAAAATAACAATAATCTATGCATCAGTACCCTGTTCTATTGGGTTTTTTTAGTGGAGAAGGTGTTGAAGTAGAAACTGTTCTCATTCTCTCATACATGTTCTATTAGGCTACAAAACAGATCCTTCACTCTAAATGGTTAGCTCTGCATGAAGATACTGTACTTCAGTTAATGTCAATAACATATTTAAAATAATGAAACACTGTTTTAAAAATCAGTAGGACATACTTCCAGCCTGATCTGCCAGAATTTCCCTTTGTCAAGGTGTGCTGACATGCTGCTCCATCTCCTGATGAGAAGCATAATTTGCAAATTTCTTCAAATGGGACAAAACTCATGCAGAGAAGATGCATCCAGATGGCAGTCTGGAAGGGAGATAACTCTGCATTTAGAGAGTGTCTGTTTCATAATCAACCTTCCTTGGTTGCTGCCTATCCTGCATCATTGAATTAATACACAGGAAGAAATTTATAGGACCCACAAAAGGAAAGTAATTTGATATAGAAACACATGTTAGAGAAATTTGCCATTACCAGGTGTGGTAGTTGGTTTTAAAAGGGGGGGGATAGGAAGAGTATTGATGCTTTTGAACTTTGGTATTGGAGAAGACTCCTGAGAATACCATGGACAGCCAAGGAAACAAATGAATCATTGAACAAATTAAGCCAGAGTTCTCACTAGATGTACAAATAACCAAGTTCAAATGATCCTACTTTGGACACATTATGCATTAGAGAAGACTCTAATGCTGGGAAAGGTGGAAGGGAAGAAGACAACCAGCAGCAAGTTGGGTGGCCTCAGTTACAGTGGGGATGAGTGCACTGTTGGAAGACCTGAAAGACCAGGTTAGGAACCGACTGTCATGGAGAAAATCTGTGTGGTCACTAAGAGTCAACACTGACTTGATGGCACATAACCAGACAAATTCACAGAGGAGAAAACTATCAATGCTCATTAATTGTGATTACCATATACTGCTTCTAGAACCAGAGATAACATATTCTAAATATCAAGTGTAGGAAGCAACAGTAGAAGAATACTGTACTGTCTTCTTATAACAATGCTGGATACATTCGCATCACATTGGTTCAAGGTCTAAGACCTGATCAAACAGCAATCCTATATTCTACCCACTACTTTACATCTCAGGCTGAACAAAGTAGAGATTGATCTAATAATACTTAACATACTCCTAAAGCTTTCACGTTTTCAGAGATTTCATGTGCATTGTCTAGCTGCAGTCTACACAGCAATGAGGAATGGAAAATCAGCTTTATGTGGCACTGACACTAAGAGCAAACAATTTGCCCAGGGACAGAGTCAAGATCTGAACTGAGGGAACTTTCAGTTTCGTAGCCTCTTAGCACTACATCAAGTCTACAAATGCTTGCTTTTTAAATAGGCTATTTATACTCCTACCTTTCTCCCTGGATACATGATAGACAGCAATAAGGACAAAGTAGTACACAGTAAAGTCCTTGTTGCTCTGGGAAACAATGTTGAAACATACCTCTCTAAGTCTTAAATGTTGCTGTTCAGGAACAGCATGGCTGCTCCATTGGGTGCACGTAAATTAGACTAGGAGGTGCTGAAAACAGTGCAGTTGCCCTTGTCTTCTCCTTGACAAACTACTGAAATTCACTCTACTTAGCGCTGCCCTTGAAGAAGGTTGACTGGTTGATATTTCTTTATTACTTGGATTTTAACAATGATCTGCGGTTTTTAAAATGATGTATGATATTCGGTTATTTATTTATATTTCAAATTTGTCACTGCCCATCTCACTGCAGAGAGACTCTGGGCAGTTTACAGTAAAAAAACAAAAACAAAAACCCTAATGTAATGTAACTAATGTAAAGCTAATGAAGTCCTGAAAATTTTTATCTATCAGATTTTGTCCTATTTAATTCTCTTATTTTTGTAAATTCCCTGTTTATTCACTTTGGGGAAGGAGTTGCTTCCTTTTTTCTTTTTGTCTTCTTTTTTTTCTTTTCTCAAAACATTGTGTTGTGACACTTAGTTGCCATTTTATATTTATTTATTGTACATTTTTAAAGTATATGGTGGGTTGGGTTTTTGGTTTATTGTTTGTTTTTTATGCTGCACGCTGGCCAGAGTTGGGCAGCTTTATAAATCTAAAAAATAAATAATAAAAATGTAATTTTAAAAAATGCTAACTGGCAGGAACCAGTGTAGTGGAATAACACCAGTGTTGGGAGAGCCGCACTGTTTCAGGCCCTATTCAAGGAGCTGGCCATGACCTTTAAAACCCTTTAGGGCTCAGGTTCTCATTATCTTTTGGACAGTTTACTTAGGTGGAATCTGTCCACCCAATATGTGCTACCTAGGGGAGGTTGGGATGGGGGCCTGGAGGATGGTCTTCTTGGTAGGAGTCCCTCACCTTAGAATGGCTTGTCCCCCAAGGTCAAGATGACCTCACCTTGCTCAGGAAGGCGATGAAAACTGTGCTGTTCCATAGAGCCTTTGGTGAGGAGAACTCTAGTTAAGCAGGCAGCCTGATTGTATAAATAGAAAAGATCCATACACCCACAGGGCAGACAGTATAGCCAGAGTTGTTTCACTGAACAATAAGCATTTACCTTTGATCACTAGGTTTTTCCAATTTCCCTCTTTCTCTAATTATATGCCAAGTCAGGTGACATATACTGTTATATATAAGGAAGTCTCAATCATATCACTACCCAAGATAAGACAGATATCTGCTCTGAACTTTCCAAAGGAAGAATATGATCATTCATTCATTCACTGCATTTCTATCCTAGCATCTCTCTGGGAGCTCAAGTTGGCTTATGTGGGATGTTTTCTCATTTTCTCCTAAAAAAACAATTTTATAGGGTAGGTGGAACTAAGAGAGAATGCCTGGCCCAAAGACTCTTCAAACAAATGGGAACTTGAACCTCTGTCTGCCTGCTCTGAGTTGAATACAGTACAATAATTCTCTTATTAATGGTTTGTTTAGCTTCAGCAAGAGAAGGCTGAGAGGAGACATGATAGCAATCTTCCAATACACGAAGAGCTGTCACAGGGAAGATGATGTGGATTTATTTTCCATAGTGCCTGAGGGTAGAACAAGAGCCACTGGGTAGAAGAGGAAGATTCAAACTTAAAAAAAAAGGAGTTTCCTGAATGCGAGAGCTATTAAGCAGAAGAACGTCTCATCTCCTGAAATCATGTAAGCTCCATCACTGGAGCTTTGGAAGCAAAGGTTGGATAGCCATTTTTCTGGGATGGTCTGAGGATTCTGCCTTGGGCAGCGGGTTGGACCAGAAAAGTCCAAAGTCCTTTCCAACTTTATGATTCTTTGATAGTAGCATTGCAGCAATGACGTTTTCTTTCAGGGAAGTAAATGGGACACCTGAACTTTGCAGCACAATGGTAGGGAATGCCACCCTGCAGACATAGGAGCTATAAGACAGACAAAATAGAAAAAAAATGGAAGCTATTTGGCGTGGAGGCCCAAGACGATTTGTGTCAGCCATTTCTCACCCTTTTACATTGATGTTACACTCCTAACTAACATACCTAAATAAATTTAACTGAAATCAGCAGGGGTTCCCTTTGCAAGGAGAAAATTTTGCAACTGTTTTAAAAATCATGTATCAGATATATGCCTCATAGTTTATCCAAATTCCTCACCTAGAATTTGTAGGTGTTCCTCTTTCAATGTCCTTTTTTTGTGCTCCATAAATTCTCCGTTTTTGTATTCTCTATAAACCACCTTTTTGTACTGCGAACCTATCGTATCTTCACCTTGGCTCACAAATATATGTCCATAACTTGAAAATAAGTAAAAGTGTAACATTATTTATCACTCTAAATAATAATTAATAATTTGTACACATTCACCGTCAAGAATTCCTGGAAATATGAAATCACAGATCAAGTTATTGAAAATGATGGAGCAAAAATTTTACGGGATTTTAAAATTCATACTGATCGACACTTGAAACATAACATACCAGACATTACTGTCATTGAAAAGAATCATGTTTGGTTTACTGATATAGCCATTCCATGAGACATTAATGTTGGGGGAAAAAAGGAATTACAATAGCCCAACTAAATTTATATGGGCACCCCATAGAAAATTAAAGGCTAACTTTACTATTCCCAAGCCCTTGGATAGAGCTCAGGTCATGAAGAAGACTGGCCAACTTCAGCTGTGACATACAATTGGATGATGGTGGTGGTGGTGGTAGTAGTAGTAGCAGTAGTAGTAGTAGTAATAGGATGCCTTTGAACTGTGGTGCTGGAGAAGACTCTTGAGAGTCCCCTGGACTGCGAGGAGGTCAAACCAGTCAATCTTAAAGGAAATCAACCCTGATTGCTCATTGGAAGGATCGATAATGAAGCTCAAGCTCAGATACTTTGGTCACCTACTGCGAAGAGAGATCTCTTTGGAGCAGACCCTGATGCTGGGAAAGATTGAAGGCAAAAGGAGAAGAGGACGGCAGAGGATGAGATGGTTAGATAGCATCACTGAAGCAATGAGCATGAAACTGAGCAAACTCAGGGAGGCAGTGAAGGACAGGAAGGCCTGGCGCAATATGGTTCATGGGGTCACGAAGAGTCGGACACGACTTAACGACTAAACAACAGAGATCTCTTTGGAGAAGACCCTGATGCTGGGAAAGATTGAAGGCAAAAGGAGAAGAGGACGGCAGAGGATGAGATGGTTAGATAGCATCACTGAAGCAATGAGCATGAAACTGAGCAAACTCAGGGAGGCAGTGAAGGACAGGAAGGCCTGGCGCAATATGGTTCATGGGGTCACGAAGAGTCGGACACGACTTAACGACTAAACAACTGGTTCATGGGGTCACGAAGAGTCGGACACGACTTAACGACTAAACAACTGGTTCATGGGGTCACGAAGAGTCGGACACGACTTAACGACTAAACAACAACAAAAGTAGTAATAGGAGATGGCAAGAGATATCTAAAAATGCAACCTGGATAGTTTGATCAGCAGATTTGTATTATAAAAGAAGAGGTAAACTAAATGATAGCAATCCAATTTAATTGAAATTATGAGCAAGGCAATCCTATGCATTTTTATTTAGATGCAAGTTCCTCTGGGTTTATGTTCCATGTGTAAATCTATAACAGTGCTATTTGAAAGAAGCCCTACTAAATACAGAGGACTATTTTGTTGTTTAGTCGTTAAGTCGTGTCCGACTCTTCGTGACCCCATGAACCATATTG